TAAAGAAAGTTCTCTCTTAACATTAAAAGTTGTTTTTAATTTAATAATTAATATTTTATCATCAATACTGAAAAACACTTACTTATTTGTTTTCTTTTTTTTTTTTTTGGTAAGTTTAATTGCGTGGGATTTGCTCGATTTTGATTTTTGACTATTTGTTAGGATGCGATATTAAAGATAGCGAAATGAAAGAGAGCTTCCAAGTCAGGAATGGAGGATTATGTAAATAAATCTTGGAATGCACTTGTGGTCCTCGGTGGGATGAATCCTATGCCCTAATTTGCTATATAATAAAGGTATTAATATGCAACATTTGATTTGAAGTTTGGAATGACTAATGGCAAAAATTTTATTTAGATTTTAGAACCTTAAAAGACATGGGTTCCTTTATCAAAAAAAAAAAGACATGGGTTCACTAAGTTTAATAGATCAATTAAGTATATAATGTTTTAATTATATTAATATTTAAATCACAATAATATTATATAAATAGTTTCTTTCTTTTTACCTTTAAATTGTAACAGTTAAAAAAAATGGGTTCGGGACTTTAAAATGGCAATTTAATTTATCACTGATTTACATTGTAATAATTTTTTAGTTAATTATTTTATAATTCAAATGATAAAATATTTTTCATAATTTTTTTTAAATAAATTCAATTATCTCCAACTACTAAGAGATTGAAGAAAGGGGGAGCTAGGAGTTGAACTTCTTACCTCCCAACGATGTTTCTATTAAGGGACAGAGTAGAAGTGTAGAACCACTTCTTGTAGACGTGGAGAACCATAAATTTATTTTAATGCAATACAAATTTCAACCGCCCACTACCCTTTCTTATCAGGTGGAAGAAAGCCTCTCACCTAATTAGGAGGTTCTTGAACGACTGGTATATTTCTTTTTCCTTTTTTGGTAGAAAGGAGAATATATTAGCAAATAAAATTGAGAATAGTGTAGCTAGATTGTCTTTCTAAAATTTTTTTAGAGAATTTGTTTTAAAATTTCTTTTAATTAATATTTTAAAAAATTGATTATTAGATTGAAAATTTTATCTATATAGATTATACATAACAATTTTTATATTGATCTAATTCTTATCACCTTTTGATTAAAAAAATTTAATTTACTGATGTATATTTAATTATATTAATTTTTTATAATTAA